CACTGTGATCATAAGTAGCATGTAATATAGAACAAACATTTCTGACTTGAGGTATTCCCAGAGTCTAGATTCAATATGTGCTAACAGCATAAGTTCTTTAAACTTTGAACTGTAGATTTCTTACCTGTAAAGCAGGGATGAAGATAATAATGAATATGTAGAAATATTCTTTAAATATTTATTAAATAGTACATTATGGAACAAAATAACAGAATGAATTATTTTAAAAGTGAATTCTTCTTGGTTTTCATCTAAGGATGCTATTGCTCTGTCTTGTAAGCATCCTACTAGGTTTTCAATTTCTTGGTTAAAACTGTAAAATTATGGATGATTTCTTTACCTGTACAGTACTTAAAATAGAGTTTGGTTCTGTACCAGTGATTGAACTAATTATTAATCAGAACAGAATTTCTACTTAAGTATACTATTTAAGTGCAGAATAAAAATAGATGGAGGAGCTTCTGAGTAACATCAATTTTGCGCATGTGCTGTGCACACTGTAGCAGATACTGGAGAAATTACCTTAATGAGAGAGAAATTACCTTAATGAGAGACCTAATTGTCATGGGACTTTAAGGTCTCATCTGGAAACCAAGACTGAATCAGAAAGTAGAACAGTCTCTACCAGAATTCAGAATTCAACAGGCTTTCTAATTTGTTATTTTGTTGCCTAAATTTAAGGTTGCAATATAGTTTTAGAATGTAGTGCATATCAAGAATGTTGAGACATACTTTTTTTCTTTCTTTCTTTTTTTTTTCACTATACCTGGAGTTTTAAAATCTCAGTTATTCAAAGTGTCAGGGACTCTTTTTAAAAGAACTTTATTGAATTTTTTGAAAATATATTGTATTGTATAGTTACTTTTCTGTTGCTGTGATAGAAACACTGACCCAAGCAACTTATAGAAGGAAGAGTTTATTTGAGCTTACGGTTCCAGGAAATTACAATCCATCATTGAGGGGAGGCATGGTGGCAGAGGTGGCTGGGGCAGGAGCAGAAAGCAGAGCACGCACATCTTCAAGCAGGCACAGGAAACAAGAGAGGGACTCCAGATCCAGCAAGGCTTAAGAACTCCAGAGAGTTCTTAGAGCCCACCCCCAGTGACAGGCTTCCCCTGGCATGGCAACACCTTCTAAGACCTCCCAAAACAGCTCCACTGACTGGGGACAAAAATGTCTGAATACTTGGAGCCTATGGGGGACATTCTCATTCAAACCATCATATATATATACCATCATATATATATAAACCATCATATATATATAATTCTGATTACCATAGCCTCCCTCCCAACATCTCTAATCTCCTTTCTACCCTTACTCCCCTACAAGTCCCTATTCTATGTCTCCTTGTCTCCTTTTTTTCAAGATCCACTGTGTTTAACCAGGATCACCTGGATGACCATGAGTTTGGAACTACCCATTGGAGCCTGACAGGCTCCTTAGTACAAACTGAAGACAATGACTGCTCCTTTCTCAGAAGGTTCTAATAAAAGTGACCAGTGAGCACTTGACCCTAAAAAGGACATTTATACCATGTCCTCTAAGGCTCAGGAATCATCTTGGCCTGGGGACCTGTATGAGTTGCTTTTTTCTGTTGCTGTAATAAAAAAGTATGACCAAGGCAACTTAGAGAAGAGTTTATTGGGCTTATGATTCCAGAGGGATGAGTCTATCAGGGCCATGGAGGCATGGCAGGAGGCAGCTGGAGCAGAAAGCAGAGAGCAGGCATGGGAAATGGTGAGAGACAAACATGAAATAGGACAAGGCTGTGAACTCCCAAAGCCCACCCCAGTGACTAACTTAGCTGCAAGCCTGGGGTAGAGGCTCTGCTAGAATTGGATTATTAAGGAAAGATGGAATTCCATGAGTTAATTCCTAAATCTGATTGGGCCAGGTTTAATTGCCTATAACAGAAAACTTAGAATAGAATTAACCTAACTAAATACATTAAGATTATCTTTTTCTTCTTAAAGTCTAGAGATGGGCTGCACACCATTCTCTACAAAGGGCTGGGGTGGAGACTCCTTTACACTGAAGAACCAGCCCCCTTCCTGTCTTTATGCTGCCCTTCTTTGTGCATGGCTTCCATTCTCAAGGCTGGCTCATTTTCCAGGATCATTATCACAGCTGTGCTCTAGAAAGGAGGAAGGGCAAAGATGGACTCCCAGCTTTCTGTCTCCCTTTGAAACCAGTTTCACAGAGGTCCCATGGTAACTAGTAACTGCTTACTAGTTACCATTACAGTAACTGCTTACTAGTTACCATTCAGTCTCATGACACAAGGGAGTCTAAAAATCAAACCTCCCGTAGCTGGATGCCTTGTCTCCCTGAATGAAATTGGGTGTTAAATATGAAGAAAAATGGGCAGTGTCTGCCACATACTGCTCATGAAAGCCAGAAAAAAATTGAAGCAAGGTTTACGATATGAAAGCAAAGTATAGTTGTTCTAGGGTCTCTATGTGCAGTAACTATGGTGACTCAGAGAATTACAACATTAAAGGATGCTGAATTCTAAGGATGAGTCTTGTCCTCTGTCCCACTATCTGGGTTTCGAAGCTCAGATCCTTGTGTTTGCATGCCATCTCTTCAACTGCCCCCCCCCGCCACTTAGTATTTTTAGCAATATTAAGTTCTAATATGTTGGTTCCTTGTTGAAGGAGGGACCAAGGCAGAGAAGACAAAAACCAAATTTTCAATCATCGTTTACCTCTTAACATGCAGTTTTGCAATACCAACATCAACTGCCTTTTGACTCTGTATGCCATATAAGAGGCCCCCTGACCTCAGTTTCTCATGCAGTCATCCCCACCCTTTAGAAAAATCTTCCTTGGGGCTGGAGAGATGGCTCAGTGGTCAAGAACACTGACTATTCTTGCAGAAGACCGGGGTTCAAATCCCAGCACCCACATGGCAGCTAACAACTGTCCATAACTCTAGTTCCAGGGGATTCAACAGTCTTTTCTGTCCTCTGCGGACATTGCACAACACGGTGCACTTACCTACATGCAGACAATACATGTATATACATAAAATAAAAATAATAAAATTTTTTAAAAAAGAAACCTTCCTTGTATGATTCTGAAGCAGGGCTTCAGATCAAGGTTTTCTTCCTGGGGTTCTGTGACATCCTTGTGGTATTTGTGGAATTTAGTGTAGGGGTGCATTTTTATAAAGGAGAGGCATTAGCATTCATTAGATTTCAAATAGATTAAGAGTCACTTAAACAGGTCTCTTCCTAGCTCAAACACATCTCTCCCCACCCCCACCCCCCTTTTTTTTATACTGAATGTCTTTGGTTAAATTGCTCAGATTCAAGGACCAGACTATTTGGGGTCCTTCCCTAAGCTCCTTGCTTAAGCCTAAGGCCTCTTCTTGTGATCCTAGAACATCCCCTGCTTGCTTCCATTAGAATACTTGCCATATTATTGAAAGGCTCTGCAGATGGCACCATCTCCTCGTGTTAGATTTAAGGGTAGGTTTGTGTTAACTTTCGTGTTCTCAGTGCCCAGAGTTGTACTAGGCATACATTTTAATTTCCCTCCCTGCTAGCCAGTATGAAGCCAGTATGCTTCATGCACTGACTCTGAGCCAGGTATGTTAGGCATCCAGAGTACACAGCTGTGAGGTTTTTTCATGAGCTTGTAGCTGTGTCCAGAAGGAGCATGGCTTGCCACTGTCTGAACTGCCGCATGTGAGCCATGTGCATTTACAGTGGAGCTGACCCGACTCCCCTTCTCTAACAGGCAGCTTTGTGCAACTGCTTCATCACCGAGAACAAAATGCAAGTGCTCTTTTAGTCTCCCTCAAAACTCTCCTTAAATCTCTTTTTAAAATCTTTCTCTTTGAATATAGCTGTTAATTGCTTTCCTCAAACTTTAGAGCAGATATTCATTAAAATCAAGCAAGAGTACGCTGTACATAAAAATATTATTTTATTTTTTTAACTCAAAGGAAAAACTGATAAAAAAATATAGCAACATTTTCATATTTGGTTTGCTAGTGTATTCTTTTTCTTTTCTAGATTATAAGTGCTTTTTGTTTGTTTTTGTTTTTTGAGACAGGGTCTCCCTGTAGCCCCATCTGGCCTGGAATGTGCTATATGTAGCCCAGGCTGGCCTTGATCGCACAGAGATCCTCCTGCCTCTACCTCTCAAGTGCTGGGATTAAAGATATGTACCACCATGCCTGGATACATTATAAATACTTTCAATCCTGTGTGCCTGAGTTTGTGAGTGGCCCTATTTTCCTGAGCCCCTAGTGACACTATTGCTTATAGGTTTTCCCTGTAGTTGACTTGGACAGGGTACATCCACATGCATAAGGAGAAGCCTCTTCTAGAGCACTGTGATGTCTTTGTTCTCAAGCTTATCACACCTCTGGAGATAGAACCACCTAGGGATGACTGCTTGAGAAGCCATTGTATGACACACCCTACTGAGACTGGTGCAGGAGGTGGAGCTAAGGCTCCAGCACTGGTAGTTTTAAATGACTGGCTCATCCCTAAGGCATCTCTTACGTGGTCACGGAAGTACAAAGGTTAAAGTGCTTATGTCCGCAAATACCTTCTCTCCTTAAACAGTCCATGGCTTCCTGCATTGAGCTTCTGTGACCGTCCCACTGTCTGTAGCCCTCTTCCCTCAGATAGCTGCAGAATTCTGCATGCTGTTTATTGTCTGTTTCTGACAGGTGTAAGCATCACCTGGCAGGCACTTCTGCTTATTTTATTCATTGACTCATCACAAGCTTTCAGAACAGTTCCTGGCTTGTTAAAAGTAATCAGTAAATATTTGTTGAATGAATACTACTACTGAAGTTATTCAGAGATAATTGGTTGAAAATTTTTCTCAGACTACACTGAAAACTTAACTCTTCTATATGTAGTATTTTCTGCATGAAAAGAATTCTAAGTGCCAAAACCAGATGTGAACATGAAAATGTCTACCACCATACAGAGGGCATGGTTAGTTCTTAATGGATTGTACTTTATTTCAAGACAGGAGGTGATGTGGTCTGACTTTGGGTTTCCTGGAAGAAATGGACAGGAAAGTACATTGTGGATTGGTTCCCTGGGAGCCTATACCCCCTGCCATCTGGACTCCTATGGTTGCAACTTAGTATTCCAGGTACAAGGAAGGTAATATGTATGCATGTGTGCATGCATGCATGCGTGTGTGTGTGTGTACACATTTGCTCATGAACAAGAAAAGGAATGGGGGGGTGTAGGTAGCAGGACCTCAAGTGTTATCCCCATCCCATCCACTTGCCTTGTGACCAAAGCAGACCTCTTCTCTTCTCAATCCTTCCGTGTTAAAGTTGCTTCCATGCATCTCAGACAGGACCTCTGAGGGGTCCTGGTTCTGCCCAGCAGTTCTCTGTTTAGTTCTTTTACCTAAGAGTATGCACATTTTTACTTTTCAAACTTCTCTTTAAAATCAGGAACTGCAGCCTTTCTCCAGCTCTGAATAAGAGCAGGGAGGTGTGTTGAAAGGAGGAGGCTTAACTGCGGCCCGTGGGCCCCCAAGTGCCAGGGACACTGGATACAATTTTTATGCCCCTTTTTGATGTCTGCCAGTAGATAAAATGCAGTAAATATATTGTTGCCTTAGGTCAGCTTTGATCTCCATCTTTCTATGGATGCTAAGAGGTTCAAGGACTAAGTGACAGAATTTTTGATAGCACCTGAGGCCTGGAGTTTGGTGACAATTGGTATGTGCTCCCGGGAGGATGTGCTCAGATGTCATGCATATAGTCTTCCCTTCTGGCCCTTTGAGACATTTGCAGGGCAAGCGCAGAGGGAAAGCCAGAAATGGCTACACACAAGTTCTCAGAATCACTGGACACAAAATGGTTGGGAGTGAATTCAAGAGAAATAGTTGTGTGTGGATCCATGTCACACAGGGGGCACAGGAGTTCCCTGATGGATTCATCAAGTCTTTGCTAGGGGCTAACCTTTCAGGTATTGCCCGGGGTTCGAACCAGCAACCCCTGGCAAGGTGAAGATTGGGGACCAGTAAGCACACCGTTCGCCAGCCCACGCCGCCCCCGTTCCCCGGGGACACTCAGATGCAACGGGGAGCCTAGTCAAGCTGGGACTCATTTTATTGCAGGTGTTACAAAGCTTATAAAGGCACCTGGAACTCCCCTCCCCCCAGGGTGTATCTTAAGGATGGTCACACGCTGATCATGCCCTCCTCAGCAGTGTGGAAGTATTCTTCAGACTTTCAAAGCAAGCCAGGCTGTGCCCCCAGTAAATTCCTTTTGGACCTATGCAAGGTGGGGCTTTTACGTTCCCACAAGGTATGCTGCTGCATGCAGGGGAGTCAGTAGTGAATCAAGTATGAGTGATCTCTGCCCTTGTGGAGTTAAGGGAACCTGAAATGTGATGAGAGGGCATTGCTTTAATGTAATACTTTTCATGTGCTCTGAATTGGGAAACAAGCCAAAGAAATTCTGGTTCTTTCTTAGATAAAAGAATAATATAGCTTTACTGTAACTTCCTAATACAGCATATTTTTTTGTTTTCATGTAGCTCTGATGTAATCAAATCGATTTAGTAAATATCCATTGGGTATCTGTCGGGTTCCATATGTCACAGTAGGTATAGAGGTGATTAAGACACCCTTTCTTCCCTAAGAGAGTTTACAGCTAGAATGCCTGCAGACCTGTAACAAAAGGGCATGCATGCTCTTGAAGGAGGACTCAGTATTGGAACTGAAAAGTAGACGAGGCAGTGCCTCCAAAGGAAAAATTAGGGCAATTCATAGAGGAGCCACTGTGTGCGGTGGACTTTGAAGGATGAGTGTTTACGTGACTCAGCTGGAAGGGCCACAGGATCCCCAAAAAGTGTGGGCTGTGCAGAGGACTGGCAACAGTAGGATTGGGCAGGGAAGGCAGGGTGGAGCCGGAGGGTCTTCACTCCCAGGCAAGCACTGCTGTTCTCTTCTTCCCGTGCACAGAACCATGAGAGACTTGAGCAGGTGGTGGCACAGCAATGCAGTACCTATTCTGCTAGAAGGATGCACACAGGTGAAGCTGAGCGAGGGAGACTGGATAGTTTGGTTATGGTGGCTGTTCCTTTGGGAGCTACACCATGATGCAGGGGATGGAGCCAGCACCTGAAGAAGCCAGGAGATGTGTGTTCTGGGTCCCTATGAGCCCAGCAACTGACACTGAGCAGACAAACACTGGCTCTCTCCCTGCCACTACTTTGAAATGAAACTGATGATCTGTTCAGTCCAGAATTGGCTCCTAAACCTACCAAATCCCAAAGGTGGCTTCTAAAGTACGTGCAGAGTGGAGCCGCCGTTCCCCCTGAATCCATCAGCATTTGAACTTGGTAGGCTGCCTTAGAATTTCTCAAAATTAAACCATTTCATTGTATCTATGAAACCTTCAAATTTCCAAAGCAGAATAAGACCAGAATACACTGGTAGTTTGAAAATAGCAGCCAGTGCTCCCAGGTTCAGAAAGGACAGGTAGTCCCAGGAACCTCCCAGGGCTCCTGGGTATCTTCTTTTATCTTTGCCTCCTGTCATCTGCTGTGTCTCTTTCATCTATGCTCTTACTCCTTCCCTCTGCCTCAGAGCTAGCTCTTCCTTCTGTTGCCATAAAATATGGTATTTTTAATGTTTTATGAAATAAGATTTATTACTTCCATTTATCAAAAATAATTTAAGTGATTAAAACAGTTTTTTCTTTTAAAAAATTCCTTGGTTATTCTACCTTTTTTTTATGTGGCATTATTTGTGTCTTTCTCATCTTTAGTGGATTAACTTAAAATGGATCATGTTTAACTTCGAGACAGGGAGAAGTCTAGATGCTGTCTGCTGAGTGGAACCATGGGGATTTACTCAGGATAATATACGAATACAGATAACTGGGGCTGGAGGTACGGCTCAGTGGTTAAGAGCACTGGCTGTTCTTTGCAGAGGACCCAGGTTCAGTTGCCAACACCCACATGGCAGCGAACTCCAGTTCCAGGGGCTCTGATGTCCTCTTCTGGCCTCCATGGGCATTGCATACATGTACTGCACTTACATACATGCAGGCAGAACACTCATACATGTAAAATAAAAATAAGGAATACAGATATTTGAGGGTCGGAAGATGGCTTAGTTGGTAAAGCGTCTGCTACAGAAGCATGACAATTTAAATTCAGTTTCCAGCATCCATGTAAAAAGCCAGGCATGGTATGCATGTCTGTAACTCGGGTCCTGGAGGGTCAGAGACAGGAGAATCCCAGGAGCTCACGCCAGCCAGTCTAGCATAATTAGTGAGCTTTAGATTGGGTGAGAGATCCTGTCTCAGGAAATAAGGTAGAGAGAGACTGAGGAGAACACATGACCTTAGCCTCTTGCCTCCACATGCTTGTATACAAGCATGCATGTACAACATAAAACACATACAACATAACGCACACATCACAGACACATTGCACATTACAACACAGAAATAAAATAAAATTTAAAGATACAGATATTCGAAAGGATAAAAATTATTCTGAATCGCTTCAGAATCTGGGGTAAAAGTAACATATAAGGAGGCAAACTTGTCTTTTTATAATTTAAAATTTTTTTATTATATGTGTATGTGTATGTCTGTGTGGGAGTATGTGCACGTGACTACAGGTGCTTATGAAAGCCAGAGGCATTGGATCTCCCAGGAGCTGGAGTTACAAGCAGTTATAAGCTGCTTGATGTTGGTACTGAGAATTTAATTCAAATCTTCTGCAAGAGCAGTACATGCTCTTAACTGCTGAGCAATCTCTCCAACCCCAAGAGGCAGATCTTGGTATGAGATATGAAAGAATGCCTTTACAAATCAGGTCCTATCCCAGCAAGGAGAGGGGCTGCCTCAGGAGGGCATGAGAAACTCACCAGTAGTGAGTTACCAGACACCTGCAGAGCAATTCCAGCTTTGAGTAAGAGGCCGGGTGGCCATTGAGAGAGCACTGTGTTCCTGTAAGGACTGAATTTGAATTAGAAAACTGAGTATTTAGCCTCTTCCTTCTTACATGTTTTATCTCAAGTTCAGAACACTAATTTGTGTCTTTTTTTTTTCATTAGGAAAAGATGGCACCTCTTCCCTCCTGAAGATACACCTCTCCTTTATCCAACCAGAATCCCTTATGAAGAGTCTAGCGTGTTCAGTAAAATCAATGTTGTTAATCCTGATTTCAGGCGTTTCCCTCAGTTCCAGAAAGCTAGACGACATACGGTCACACTGAGCCCAGGACAGGTAATGGTGCTTTAAAACATTGATGACCTGTCCATGGACACCACAGCTGTAACTCTAAAGTCCTGTTGCCATGCACTTCCCCACAGTACAAATGGGAATCCTGTCCTTCTGGCAGTCCTGCTGTTGTAGGGAAAGCTTACATCTGTGGCCACTAAGGCAGCTTTACAGCCCTGGGAAGGAGGGAGCACAGCTCCTCCTATTGGTGAAGAAGAGAATAGATGTTGGAGGAAGACAAGTCCATGAAGCCATTGTTACTCAGGTCTAGGCGTGGGCACTAGAACAGTTGTCTCTACAACCAGTCGGTGAACACAAGCTACAGTGCGTGCATCCATGTAGTGGGTCAGCAGAACTGGATGAACTGAATTCATGCTTTTGAGCATGAATGACTATTCAGAATTGGTCTAAGGATATATTTAGTGCTGCTACCCTGTGGGAGAAACTTCCTTTACAACATTGGTGCTTGCTGTCTCAGTTTAATAGCATTTGAAAAGTTTTCTTGGTCTTGAAGAGAATTGATTCCCTGTGTTATGCCATCCTTATCCCTTACCTGTCCTCCCTCCATTGCACACTTCTCACCGACATTTTCCCTGCTCTCTTCACACTCATGGTCTAACTAACCAGTTCATTTGACCTGGCCAAGTTGCTTCTGTCCATTCACAATCACTCCCCATCATACCTCTTCCCTAGCTCCTGATGACCACTACTTTACTATGTGGCTCCATAAATTAGCATAGTCTGGGCATTTCACATGCAACCATACAACATATGGTCTTTTTGTATGTGACTTCTTACACAAAGCATGATGATTTCAAGGCTGAGTAATACCTGATTACACAAGTGTACCACGTGTATACACTTGTCAGTTGATTGCATTGGTTTCCACTTCTTAGCTATTATGAGTATTACTGCTCTGAACATTTGTCAATAGTTTTGTGTAAATATATTTTGAGATCTCTTGAGTTTATACCTGAGAGTGGAAGTGGTAGTTCCTATGATAACTCTGTGATTAACCTTTTGAGGAATTGCCAAATTGTTTTCCACAGCAACTATGCCATTTTACATTTCTACTAATAATATGTGAGGGTTCTAATTTCTTCACACTTCTCCAACCCTTGCTTTTTAAATTATAATTCTTATGGCTATTCCAGTAGCTATAAAATGAGTGTAATTCTTTTTTTCCCCCCTTCCATTTCTAATAGCTAAATCTGACTGGTTCTATTTACATCTGTCTGTTCTTTGATGCACTGAAATTTGGTTCTCACAACTTTATTGAAACTGTATGACAGGACATTCATGACCTCTGTATTAATCTTTCTTTTTTTTTTTAAGAGAGTATATCTAGGTATGTATGTGTGTGTGTGCATGCCCCTGTGCACTTCCAGAAAAGGATGTTGGATACCATTGAACTAGAGTTACAGGCAGTTGTAAGCTGCCTGATATAGGTTCTGGGAACTGAACTTGGGTCCTCTGCATGAACAGAAGTGCTCTTAACTACTGAGCCTTCGCTCCAGTCTGCTTTTTATTCCTATGACAAAATACTCAAAAAAAAAAAAAAATCTTAATAAAAAAAGGAAAGGTTGGGGTTGGAGAGGTAGCTTGGCAGTTAAGAGCACTGGCTGCTTTTGCAGAGGACCAGCTTTGGTTCCTTACAATCATCTGTAACTATAATTCCAGAGAATTTGACACTCCTTTCTGATCTCCAAGGGCATTGCACACATGGGTATACTTACGTACATGTAGGCAAAATACTCATACACATGACATAAAAATAAAATTATTTTGAAAGGAAAGGTTGGTTTAGAATCTAAATTTCAGAGCTTTTACTGCACAGTCACTTGGCCATGATACTTTGTGGCAGCTCAGTACATCAAGGCAGGAGCAGGTAGCAGAAGAGAGTGCTCACCGCATAGCAGCAGGAAAGGAAACGAACAAGACCAGGAGGCCAGGGTCCTCCCATCCCATCAAAGAGTACAGACCCTCAGTGACCTACATTGGTTCCACCATGCCCCGCTTTCCTACAGAAACACAAGCTAATAAACAGCCCTTTGACTCACGGGCCTTTGGGGAACATGCTAAACAGCTTCTTCATGACTAAACTCTTTTAGTCCCCAGTTCTTCTAAAAGGAGCTGTCTTCTCATCTCTCAGCCCTGCCACAATCTAGTTTCCAAAAGCTTCCAGTCTCTGCTCCCTGCCTTGTTGGGCCTTTCATAGACAGTTGCTTGGTCTGGACAGGTGCAGTCCTCCTGGCTCTCTTAACATTCAGGAATGGAACCGCTATAAAAATCTCCTGACCTCTACTCTGAATTTCTCAGGAACTCTTTATGCTTGCAGGGTAAACTCCTAACCCTTTATTCTGAATTCAGGGTCCTCTGCTGGCCTAAGCTTGTTTTCCCACCTCATCACCACCACCCCCAAACCCCACCCCCTGCAGTCATAAGAATGACAACTGGCTAGCCCTCAATGGCCCCCTCCCCTGCTCTTACTGTGTCACTTCTTCCTGCTTTATGTATCCTCATTCTCTGTCTAATTTATTTCCTAACCCTGGTTTAAATCGCACTTCCTTCATCGAGTGGCCCCTGGCCTCAAGCACAAACCACCTTCTAATTTACACTTCTACAGCATCAACTTCTGTGCATCATTTTCCCATCAGCTAGGTTTTGAGCTGTGAAAGCATGGACACTGTCCTCTATTCTTGCCTATGCCCTTTCTCAGAATGTACACAACTCTTTTGCAGTGGCAAGGGTGAAAAATTTTCATTTCAAAAGCCTTTACTAGAATTTAGATGTGAACAGAAAAGACTCAAAATTAAGAAGAATAAAAAAGCTGCCAAAATCTTTTGTATGGCTCGTGAACATGTCAATAAGAAAAAGAACACACGAAGAAAGAGATGGTGGGCTTTCTTACTTCCCCGTCCCTTTAACACGATGACTGAATTCATTTTTCATACTTTTCCCCTTACCTCAATTAGAGTGTGATTTTGACATAAAAAAGAAATGTCCTGTTCTTATGTTAACTATTTACTCTTTGGTTTTCAGGTTCTGTTTGTTCCCAGACACTGGTGGCATTATGTGGAGTCAATTGATCCTGTTACCATCAGTATAAACTCCTGGATTGAGCTGGTACTTTTTTGTTTTCCTTAAAAAAAAACCGAAACTATTGTTAAGATATGCAGAATCAGAATCTGTCTACAAAACTTGGTGATTAGTTCTCTCCAACCAGCATTCTAGGATGACCTTGTATCCATGTGCTGTGATGGCGCCTTCTGTTGATAAATGTTTAGGTTGGAGATAGGCATTTTAGAGATGTGCCATTCTCTTATTTTGCTTGTTTGTGTTGTGTTTTGTTTTGTTTAGACAAGGTATTGCTGTGTAGCCCAGGGTGGCCTCAAACTCCTGATCCTCCTACCCCAGACTTCTGAGTGCTGGGACTACAACTGTGTGCCACTGTGCCCAACGACTCCTTGAAAAGCCACAGTGAGCCTGACATAGATGACTCCCTTGACCAGTGTTGTCAGGAAAGCTGTATTCAGTCTGGTGAGATATGCAGTAAATGTGTGACACTGCCAGTTCCGTGTCACACTGCCTCAGCTGGAAATACCTGCTTCTTCACAGTTCTCATTTACTGGTCTTTGCTTATGCATTGTCTCAAATTAAGACATTTTTATCATTTACTTCTGCCAGAAGCTTTTTCCCGCCAGTATCTTCAACCTGATTGCCTGCTCTGTCTGACAGGTACAACTGCCAGTTAAGCTCAAGTCTGTCTCTTTCACCTAAGCCCTCAGTTGCACCTGCACTTTCTTTAACCAAAGACTTTGATTGCACTTGTGGCCTCTAACTCTGGGCCCTGATTGCATTTCTGGTCTCCTTAACCCAGAGTCTTGATTACATCTCTCTGCTTTCTTCCGCAGCTGCATCCTCCCCTCAGTCAGGTATTTCTTTTGGTATTGGGAAGGGCTCTGCAGTAGGTGGAGCTGATTGTTGTAGCAGGAAGCTGGACTTGTGGGAGGGAAGAGAAGACATATAGCCCTTAGGTGAGAGGTATGGTGATCAGTAGCCGCCCGGTTAGAAAATCTGCTTGGAGCATGCTGAGCTGGAATTGGAGCAGATATGAGGTTGAGTCTACTGCCAGTCACACTGCCATAACCCAGTGCCCAGGCAAGCACATTCATTGCTAAATGGGGGAACTGTCATCTGCCTGCTTATGGCCATGTTCATTATTTCTAAAACCAAACATAATTTTATTTTTAATTATTTGAAAGTTGCTGCCTTGTGTTCCCCTTAATTGGTTCTTCCAACTCAAACCTCTACTTTCTTTAATGCTCTCTTTTTTGCTATGTCCCCACCCCACACTCTTCACCATTTTTGGTCATAGACCTTGGAATCAGGCAGACTTAAGATACAAGTTATATTTGCTAGCTGTCTAATCTAGATGGTTAAATAGTGAATGCTCAGCTTCCTCCTTTATAAAACAATGATTGTTAATTGAGCCCAGCTCAGGAAGGTGGTTGTAAAGCTTAAATTAGGCAATGTATAAAAGCATCCAACATAGTCCTTGGCATATTTGAAGTGTTTTAAAAATAAAATTGCTCAGTTAGGGGACTGGCTCAGTTGGTAAAGTGTGTAGAAGTCCTGAATTGAATACCCATAACCCACAAAAAAAAAAAAATGCCCATGCTTAAAATCCCAGCACTAGGGAGGCTGGCACCAGAGGATCCCTGGGGCCTGCTGGTAGCCTGTTTAGCCAAATTGGTGAACTCTAGACCAATCAAAGACCTTGTTTCACAGGAGGTCAACAGCATTCCTAAGGATGACACCTAAGGTTGTCCTCTGCCCTACACACACACACACACACACACACACACACACACACAATCATTATGAGGAAGGAGAACTATTAATGTCAAGAATCCCTCAACATACACCACCTACCACTGTGGGCTTTATTTGATGGAGTATGAGATTTCTACCTCACACAGTGAGATCCTAAATTTCTTCAGTGCTGCTTACAATATTGCACTAGCCTTCTCAGTAGCCTTAGCTCACTTTAGGTTCATACTCAACTTTAAAATATCCACATTTTTCCACATGATCTGTTGTCCTGCCAGGTTGCCCCCTTTCCTTTATACTGGTAAAACATATTTTTAAAATCTGATACTTCATAGTCAACCTTATTAATTTTTAGCTGTTGGTTTGGTTGAACATTCCAGCTTGCCAAGATAGTTTCGAATTTCAGTTTCACCTGTGCTTTTAATGAAACGCCTTCAGGCTTGCCTATGCCCTTTTGATATATTCTGTTCATTAGTTGTTAAGTGTATCCTTGCTGTCTGACACATGAAGCTATCCTAGGATCCCTTGTATTTTCTATGCTCCAAACAGACAGACACGTCCTTTTACTGGGGAATGGAATTTATAAACTGAGATTTGGCTTCTAGGGTCTGCTTATGGGATCTGGGACTGGGGAGAGGGAAAGAGTTTTTTTCAATGGTATTCCTTTATTGTCCTTCTAATGTCCATCAAATCTATAATAATGGCCCTTTTTCATTTCTGGTAGTATTTGTACATTCCTCTTTAAAAAAATTATATTAAGAGGCTTATCAATTGTTTGGCCCTTATTTTTAAAAAATTTTTATTAAAGGGGCTGGAGAGATGGCTCAGCGGTTAAGAGCACTGACTGCTCTTGCAGAGGACCTGGGTTCGATTCCCAGCACCCACATGGCAGCTAC